GACAAGAGTAGGCAACATGCAGAGGTTTACAAAACACAAGGGAAGAGGCTGTTATTCAGGATACCCTCAGCTTCCTAATATAGTAGGTTAGACGGAAGAATTTTTTAGAAAATAAGCAAGACATGGAAGAACCGGGGAAGTTGTAACGAAGAAACATACATCGCGACAAATCATACTTGTAACCTTCTCAAATACACAGCCGTCAAAAAACGAATTATGAGACTTAAGCAGTTTACGGAGGTTATGTTCATACCTGGAACTAAAGTTCTTAGCTTGAGTTTTTGTAGAATTGAGCTCAAGACCATTCATGAAGGATCATCATCCACTAGTAGATCAGGAATTATTCAGTTGGGAACAATCTGTTGAAGAGCAGACAGGTGCAGGAACTGTTAGGTCATCAGCATATTTGATGAAATTAATACTGATTGGCAACGGTAAGCCTTACAGAAAGGAAGAGAAAAGATCGGAGGGAGGGACAGCACCTTGGGAAACATCAGCCGCAGTGAGCAATGAGGTGGAGCACTTCCCCCTGTGAACAGTATATTGTTTCCTTTCAGAGAAATAAAAATGCAGCCAGATGATTACCAGGTACTCAGTATGCGTCCCGGCTAGCTTGTCCAATAAAAGAGGTTTCAGGATAAAATCAAATGCCGAAGTATAGTCTGTAAAGGTACACCTGACATCACTGACATTCCTACCAAGAATACAAGCAATATTGTGAAATAAGCCAGTGATTACACCCAGAGTGTTTCTTTTACATTGATATCCAAACTGATTAGAACCTCCAGAAACCTTCAATAAGGACTGAAGCCCAGGTATTATTTGCTTCTCCATTATTTTTTTCAGGGATGGAGAAGTAACTGTAATCAGACGGAATTTCGGACATGAGCCTGGAGTCCCTGACTTAGGTATGGCGACTATCTTAGTACCTTTTTAGACAGCTGGTATTGTGTTTCCTGAAAACGGTTTCTTTAATATTTTAAGGAGTAGGTGGCGTAACATGTCAACATATTTCGTGAACATTAAATTTGACATGTCATGTGGCCCTAAATTGTGTGGAAGGTTCGAGGATTTGATACATATGAAAGCATTTTTCTCAGAGAATTGTGGACAGCATTCTTCATTGGAAACGGGTGGCGTAAATAAGATGGGATAGTTTGTCGGCGTGTAAGCGATCTGTCTAAAGTATGTTCACTAACCCATGCTTCTTTGCTAAGGTGTTTACCATCAGTGAGGTCTTTGAAAATATCTCCACACGCTAGAACAGCCTTTACATGGATATCCAGCAGATGTAGATGTTTATTTTCTAACCTAGTTAAAACATCCAATCGACGAACACCAGCGTTATCACCTACCCTATTTAACCCTTATTTTTCTATTTTAGCCTCTTAAGTTTATCAGAAGATTAATGACAAAGCGCGGAAATGAGTTTTTCACTAGGAAAACAAATATCTAGTCAAAACTTAACATAGCACGTCACTGCACCGATAGTGTCGTTCAACATATCGCTACCAAATTTATTCCAGCTATATATTGTAGCATACTTCTTAGTTGTAGTGTCATATTTTTTAAGTAGTTCTCCACGCAAAGTGTGAAGTTTTTTCCAAGAAATTCAGAACCAAAGCAAACAAGCAACCTCTGAGCAATAAACCAAACTTTCGAGTTACGCGTAAAATCCCAAACACAGAATTTGTCTGAAATACAGTACTACATTAATAAGCAGTATTGAGTAATAAAATACAACCTTCAAATCATTAGGTATCTGCGATTTACTGCCAATAAAGGACTCTGTAAAGAATGCGTCAGCAATAAAAACAACGGGGCTGTAGCAAAACAACCAGAAGGGGATACAAAAAACGCGCACAAGTTCTCACGATGATGTAAAGACGCAAGATAAACAAAATTTCAAGGTAAAACAGAACATCAGAGAATAGCAAAAGAAATTACAACACCATCACGGACTGTGAAAGGTACTAATATATACGGATTTTAAATAGTGAAGAAGATACGAGAATGAATAGTCAAGCATGTAGATGAAGTAACATTATAATGAAACATGACTATACTACTCAAAAGTAATAAGTAGTATAATTCTGCAGACAAAAAGGGAATACAAAGAGAACATCCCATAGAGAAAACAAGCACAAGGACAGTTTTCTAAAATCGATACGTAAAGACTGCATCATGTAGTTTGCCACAGAGTTTGGAGAAAACGCTTATAACGCAATAACCTTAATTTCGTAAGTATCAGGATAATTATAAGTCTAGTATTGCATCCTGACGTGATGTGAAGATAACAGTTCAAAGTGAGGAGGGGATTTTATCGGTCGACTTCGCAGTAAGTTCACTGAACAGCGGATGCGCACCATTGTGGTGTAGTTTGTTCGATGCAAGATGATTCGGCGTAATCAAAGTGAAGCCCTCAAACAAGGCTTCATATCTGTAAGTTCTCGTAATTGAGGTATATTATCCACCTCGAAGGAACAGATGCCCCCCCAGAAATGCGAGCCAACATCATTCAGTATCTTAGCCAAGAAAGTTACTAACCACCTCTTCAGTCTCTGACATTGCACACTAGTTGTATGACTTGTTTGGTCTAATAGCTAAATCGGTAAGGTTTGATCAGTACTAAAAGCTAAACAGTATGTTCTTTGATGTTGGGCGTTGACTGTTTTGCAGGACGTAAAGTGTTTTAACCCTTCCTGAAGGTTTCAGTTTATTCTCGATTCCAGATGCGTCTTGATGATGAGTACCAAACTTCATGGAATGGTAATCATTTTTAGTCGGCAGCTGACAATCTGTACACAACAAGTAGTACATCTCGTCCACGAATAACTTGCAAGTGATTTCTGTGTCATACACAAGCTACGGTGACCTGTGATGAACAAACCTGAAATGTAGATATGAAAACTGCAAAAAAATACTACTTAGACGATCCGTTTAAATAGCAGTTTTGTTAGCTGTTGAGCAGGAGGCTGACTTGCTTTATCCCCGGCTAGGAATTCGTTCAATTTGACTATTCACTGAAAGGTTAGATAGACAAACTCATGGAAACAATTTGAAGTCTGACGTAATCTGCTTAGCTGCTAGCAGTGGAATCCAGGATGTGCGTTTCATCCTATGTGAGACTTCTCACCTGGTAGTGTAATTGCCTTCAGCCACCGAAATGAACCCTGATCAAAATCGCCTATTTCGTGTATCGTTCCTAGAAAGTTTAAGAGGTTTGAATTTTCTGACATTTGTCATGCCATTACTTCGATACTTTATGGGTTAAAGACCATTCTAGGTTTGGTCCCTGTATCCTGCTAAAAGTAAGACTTCATACTGAGATCAACGATGAGTAGGCATATATAACAGGTGACGTGATCAGCTCAGAGTAGATAAGGATTCACAGCTTCTGCGACTGATTAACCCCTCATGATTATCCCCCTAAATCTAAATCGCTCATACATTGTATTATCAATCTATTTACGTAGAGATAGTTGTAAAATCGCTTGAGTTCTGATAGCATGAAAACACATTCTAGTATGTCACTTCAGTACTATCGAAAAAGAAGGCTAGTCATCACTCACTAATCACAATTTGATAGGCTTCATGATTGACGTAACCATTCTGATTATGAATTACATTTGAACTGCAGAGGTACATGGCATGAGATCCATATTCGCTTTATGCTATGTTGCATGCCAGAAAGTGATTGGCAGTTAATCTAAAACACGGGTTTCGTACATGTTGTAATGCATAAAAGACATGTTATGGCATGCCTGAAGGATCCCATATAGTCTTTTAGAGTCGACCCCATATCCTCCTGCATTTCATTCCGGAGTACTCTTATTAGCTAGTATGTTGCAGAACTTGACTTTTTACAAAAGTTATTGGTAGTGGTAAGGGGAAGGCTCATAGGATACTAGATTGAATAGTGCACTTTATTGCTTTGTTACTTACAGTGACTGAACATTTACACTAGGTGATGATTCAGGGTAATATAAAATTTTGGACCATGGTCGGACTCAGACCACCGACCACCACATTTCCCGATCTATACTCTACCAAATGAGCTATGAGGTTCGAATGTGGGCCTGGTTTTTATTTCACTTCAATCACCACGGGTTTTGTCCGACTACCATGGGAATTCGTGACGCGTTACTACCGCTTAATCATTTCATTGAGAACAGTTAATTGATATGTGAAACTTTAATGACACACAACTTCTGTCTGGATTAAACACGTGAGAAATTAAGCCAAGTAGATGAATAATTTTCCATCGCATCAAAATTCAGCAATATATAGCCTAATAAAACAGGTAATTGGGACTAAACAACTTCCTTCTAAGATTTATTGTAAATTGAGTCATAAAAAAACATGTAAACCCGTCATTTTCGTCAGTAAAAGACATGACACGTGTGGAATATACCCATGGGTTCTCAAATCATCTGCCAATCAACCAAAGCCATATGGCTATCCATTAATTTTTCCAGCGGGTTTTTAACTACTTATAAGTAGCATGTTTTATTTCAAGAAATATTCAGCTGAACAATGAAAGCCAGTACCTCCAGTGGATTTGAATTTTACTTCTTTAAAAACGTGACTGTGAGCACAAATTTAAAAATTTGACACCTGTTCATTCATCATCATCTCCACTTTTCACCATAATTTAGTGTGTTTTCTGCTAACTCATGAAAAAGAAAGATTTTATCCATATTAGATTGATACAGCATTATTTACTGGATGACGTTTCGAGCAGAGTTTGTATGATAAATTTGAGGCCTAGAATATTGAAAGTGTGAGCTTCTGGGGTTTTATTTGACCTCTAGTCTATATCAGCTAATGATCGAAGCTACTGTCAGTCAGGTAGTAAATTATCCCACAAACTACTTAAATGAACAAGTAAAGCATTAATTTCTGATTATTGCTTCGCCTTACTTCAATGTCTCCACTAAGTATTACACAACTAAGGGATGCAAAAATAACTTTTTTCTTGCATTTGCACATTTCCGCAGTGATCGAAGAAATTCAAAGACAAACCATAACACCAGCTAACCATAATGAGTGTCAAGGGATTCTTTAAAAATGTTCTTAACCCTGATGGAAAAACTGAAGAGCAGGAAGTGACAGCTTCTGGGGCAGCAGCAGCTGGAATGAGTAACTTTCTGTCAGGCACATCGAAATTTTTGGATTCTGTACAAACAAAAAAGAATGGATTGATCAATGACTTATCCAGTAAACTGACTTCATTCAAGATACCTGGTGATCAGTCAACCAATGAGAATGTGAAAAAAACGAAGAAAGTTAGAGATCCTGATGCTGAAGATGATGATGACAGTTCTGCCAGTGAGTATGGAGATGATGGTGATCGCCCAATGTATGCTGAAGTAGCACCCGTAGAACGACAAGTATCAGTTGAAAGTGTTGATAGTCTACCGGATGATGAAGCTGAAAGACGTAAAGCAGATATTCGCGCCTTAGTCTCCAATCTACTACAACAAAGGTAGGCTTTCAATGATACTTTTATTATTATAAATACAAGTTCCAATACCGGTCGACATAACACAGTAGACTAGTATCCCCACGTCTCATAAGTTACGGGCTGATAAGTTTGGCTTATCTGCATTAATTTGACAACATGGAAAATATTACTTAACTAGCTGTTCCTCTTTCTTTCGTCTCTTCTAGACTTTGACTCCAAAACGTTAAAGTTTAGTCAAAATTGTCGTATTTAATGAAACCGAGGTCAACTGGAGGGACAGTTATTGGGGAGCCGTTTTTCTTCAAGTTTCCATTGTTGCTAAAGCTAGTAAGTAGTATATATCTGCCGCGTCTCTTCCTTGATTAAGGTCAACCGGTGCTGATATTATAGACCGCATCACTGAGCTTTTCAGGCTGTAACTGACTTTCGATAAAACTGTAATGGACACATTAGTTGGTTACTGAAGAGCAACCAGCGTTGTTTTTCCGTCCAAATTGGTGAAGGGATTCTGTCGGCAAACTTCGCTGTAAGGTCAGTGAACTAGGAGACTGTCTTAAGCAATACAAGTTGTTCGATGTTAGCTGACTTTAGAAAATTAACCAGAAACCTTAAAATCAATATATAGGGATAAGAGCTTACTACGTGAGATCATCTCCTCGACAGGCCACTACTTTTCAGTCTAGTTCACACAGTAGTTTGGTCTCTTTCTTAACTACTAGCAGTAAAAGGGGCCATCTACAAGGACGGTTAATGCAAATTATTTCGATGGATTAAATTTCACTTTTCACAACCTTTATATCCACCTTAAATAAATCTGTATTTCAAGGATTCTTGTTTACATCTTATCAGAATTATGACTTTATTGAAGACAGTGATAACTCTTTTCGACTATTTCAAAACATAAATCAGTAGCACGTAAGCGATAGTTTTTAATGTTATGTCTCTTCGCATCACCATAAAGCTACAAAATAAAAATCGATTGCTATTTCTTACTCTAGTTTAACTTGGGCTAAATAAAACTATTCACACTCAGTATGCAAAAGGTTCAGCAATCGCTTTGCCCATTTGTTCAAGTTTGCTTTATTATCTCCGAGTTTTTGAAAACCACTTCTTTTTCGAAGGTATTATCTAATTACTACACTACCGACTATTTGTACTTCTGCTACTGTGTAACATAAAAACTTGGTCCTTTTTCGGTGATTAAATAAAAAATCAATTGAATTTTGAGGGCGTTGTGGGGATTTGGAAATATTTCAAGTTGTAATTCATCGTAGACTGACATCATTTGGAGGACCAAAGGAAACCTGGGTGCACTGTGCAACTGTTTCGTCCTAGTACGGGACTCCTCAACGGTGCGCACCCAGGACCACGGAAATATGCACTACCGGGCTCCAAGCCCAGTGGCTCAGTAGTGACGTGCTGGCCTCCGGACCCGATGGTCGCGGGTTCGATCCCCAGTGGGGTCACGGGTGCGCACCGCTGAGTCCCATACTAGGACGAAGCTGCTTCACAGTGCTCCTAGGTTTCCTTTGTTCCTCCAACCGATGTCAGTCTACAATAAATAAAAATTCGAGAAATTCAATTCCTTTCGAGTTGAATAAAACCGATTACCACTATGAATTGTTTCACGTTACTATTGATATTCTAATGATAATCTAAGTTAATTCTCTGACCGATACCAATCTATTTTAGAAGCCGAGATGCTGATCTTTAAAAACTTTATGGACTGAAATTCAGTTACTTTAGAATAAGATCAATCTGTGTTTACTGCATGCTCCTTGTTGGGCTTTTCAAACCATAAGCTTTGCTTCCTGGAAAGTCTAGGCAAACCAACTGTCTTAAATCCTTAAATTTTTATTGGATTACAGAATACGGTAAACCGTAGGACTAAATCGACTATCAATCTTGTTATGTTCTTGATAAGACGATGTGGCGGCTGTTACTGATTGTAACTTCAACTAGGGATTCTTGTTTGGTTTTGTGATAAGCGAACTGTAAGAATTACCAGAAGCTCGGTTCTGTCTAATGTCAAGGCGTTGGGTTACTTTGCTCAAGTTTATCCTATCGCCGAAAACGTTAAGCCAGCTAACTGAGAGATCATAGACATGTGTACTACACTACCCCCCCCCCCCAACAAATAATGATGCATTTGACGAAATGCATGGGAAATGTTCAGAACCGAAAAAAGCTAAGACTGTTTAATTCAAATGTCAAGGAAGAAAAACAAAACTTGGTGAATTTAAGTGAATTCATCACCACTTGGTTACTGATGGTAATTGCCCTGTGAAGGGATGAAGTAAATCTATTTTGCAGTCCATCAATTCGTTAATTCCACTTCTTGGTTACACACAGTCAGCATACATAGATAGCAAAAATGCTTAAATCTGACGTGTACACACAAAACTGCGTTACCTGTGTCTGATTTCTTGACCAGTTATTGAGTAACTATGTCAGAAGGTCAAATCGCTTGTAAAAGGGGATCAGGGAATAAAGTGCATATTCTTTTCTAAATATATCCGGAGTAAATTATTCCTCCTGGTTAACTGACGTTTGTCTCTTAAGTCACGGAACTTACCACAGGACTACTCAGATTATTAACGGAGGTCATTTTGAATGCTGTCTGTTAGGTACACTTAGAATTCAAATGATGTAACTTCAGCAAAAAAGTAGTGTAGGACTGGATTTCTTAGGAAGTAGCAATTCAAACAAGGCTTCAGAGTGTCGTTGCTGACGAGGGTCAGAAAGCATGAATTTAGTTGGAAAGTCTTCCTGTCTGTTGTTTTCAATGATGTGGCATCAGGTGAACTGTTCACTATGTCAAGCTAGTCAGTCATACTGATCGACAGAATTTGGTTAGTATTAGATATTTGATAACAAGATGCTGTGTACCTCTCATAGACAGATTATTTTACGTAACTAGGTCTAAGGTCTGATTCCAGACAGAAGATAGTCAATAATCCGTACTCCTTTTGGTTTTTGTGTGTAAGTGAACCAACTGTCCCAGTCAGTTGTAGGGAAAAATTATTTTTCACTACATACTAGACCAATTTTCGTTCAATCACAATGGTCATAGTGAGTAGTTTTCTGATTAAGATTTTACGATTTCAAGGTTATATTGACCTTCATTCGATTATCTATGTGTCTGAAAAGAAACTATTGGCTCAAGAAATTTTCCAGGACCTTCAGTGTTGCAAAATCAACATTTTTCTCGGTAAATCAAGTAAATGTATTCCTAGTGAGCTAAAAAGCTATCTTTTCATTTTCGAAATATTTTTATACTACTTAAATAATCATTTCAGTAGATCCCTTTAAGATGAACTTTGCGTATGCTTCCTTTTTATGCAAACTAAGTTATAATTGAGGATTATATTGTCACCTGGAAAAAAACACTGTGGACTAATCTCACAGGAAAACCTCAAATTCATGGTAATATTGACTAAACAAGCTCGAATTCTGATAACTTTTGTGTTACTTCTTTCTTTCACTTTTTCTTCCTAGCTTGATTAACGAGAAAGTGGTGAAAGATTTCCGCAATTTCATTATGGTAAGTTGGCGTTAATTTCAGTTTCCTGTAGGTCTGATACTGAATGCATTGGATGGTGGGATTACTTTCTTTTCTAACGATTTATCCGAAAAGATAGAAGGGATTGATGAGTTACTGATAAATCCTTAGATATTTGTCAGATTATCAGTATGCATCTATAGTTAACCTCATTACATCTACTCTGGTGTATACAGAGTTATCGATCACAACTAGGTTGATTTGGAAGTGATGACTCATAAATTTAGCTTAGCGACAGCTTGTTCGATCACGGTGGTGAAAATGCTTCGCTTATTTCTTGAAGGAGGATAACTTATCGGACAAGTTAGTACAGATCAACACAAGATTTACTTGCTAAGATTTATGCAACTTAAATCCACCTTATAAACACTGGAAACTATTCGTTATAGTAATGAATCACTCAGCTTGAAGCCCACATTTAATTTAGTTTTGTGGTTTGTGGGGAATTTTCGACTATAGGTTGGCATCATGGAGAGCCACTAGAAATCTGGTAGCACTGATGTCAATTCATGATGAATACCAACCTGAAATCAATAAATCCCGACAAACTTCAAGATAGAATTAATCCAGTTGTCATTGGTGACTAGCTTTGACAGGTGGTTCCCGAAGATCCAATAAGAAGTCATGACCAGGGGAGTCAATCAAGTCGAATACTAGGATAGTTACTTAACGACACTATTGGATGGAGGTTGCGCTATGGGCCAATGGATCCGGACCCAGCGGTTCACTGGTAACGTGCTGATCGTGGAGTCTAAAAGTCTTGTGTTCGGGCCCTGGGGGGGGGTCAAGGGTGCATACAGATGAGTCCCAGGTTCCCAATGTTTCTCCAACTGATATCAGTCCGTGGTGAATATCAACCTTAACACATTGGATTCCTTGATCGGTAAACTTTTCTCACTGGTTAAGGTTGACGTATGTAACTGATTACTGTCGGGTAAGTTAGTATGAAGTCTACAAATCTTAAGTGTTTAGTCAAGTAAGAGAATTCCCAAATGCAAACGTTCTCATGTAAACAGACAGCTAATCTTCACGAAGGTATAGAAATATTGACATCTTTCCGTATTAATGAAGCTGGTCATATCACCTTCGCCTTTTCTTATTGTACTCAACATTTAATAATACAAAAGAGTAATGGGGTATTTGAATGAAACTGACAACTGCTGACCATCTACTTGTTGGGTTGGAGCTAAGGCTACTAACAAGCAGACCTATAGTTTCAACGAATGATGCTAGTACTCACGAACCATGTGCAGTCCTAAGACACCACTCCCACCTTTACTTTCGAGTAAAAATGTGATATAATCCATTTATCCAGTGATTGGTGGTGTTTCAACAAAGATTAGAACTCTGTATCAATTCCTTCACTACATAACTTAGTTACAGAGGGTAATTGCTTTGCAGTTTTCCATTGTTCATCAAAAATAAACTCAAGGCACTACTGATAATTCCATTTGCGCTGTCCATTTGACACGTGAGAGCAATTCAGTCTCTTAAAATATAATTAGTAGTGGAAAATAGTGAGTTTTTTTGACAAACTAACATAACTGGTGTTCATCTTAATTCGTAGCCACTTGCCAACTGTTTCTGTTCATTATAGTCATATGGATGTCTAGCAGTGGAATCCAGGACGCGTATTTCATCTTATTTGGTACTAGTCAATTGGATGTACCTAGACCTCACTAAGTGACGTTGTTCACACTGATGCTTGAACTTTGTACCCACCACTCTAACCAAGGAAAAGCTATTCACTAGAGCACGAAGTCACGATAGACAACACTTGTGCAATGGGTATCGGTCGTTGTTTTATTAGTATTTTTAATTTCGCGTTGCCGTACTTAGTCGAACTGCTCGACCTCTAGTTCTCTCCATTTCCTACGTATGTAGATTACAAGTTGAAAAAATGTCCGTGTTTACTCCAGGAAAATAGCTTTGAAGACAATGAAGTTATCTCTTACCACTAATTCTATTCCATGTACACAGAAGAGAAGTAAATCATTTGACTTTATTGAACCCAGATAACTGGAAAGTCTGTGATACTTCTAATGAACAGCTGTTTAGGTGATTTTCACAAATATTGGCCTTCAGTGTGACAACAATCATCATATTCCTAGAGTTCCTCTTTGAAATGAGAGTAAATGCCTTTACTGAATCTGGTTCAAATGTCCGATTCAAATTTTTCTGAGTTGAACAGACACAGGCGATTTCCAGAGGACTTACGTATTCATTAACTTATGACCATTCATTTGACGGCTAAGATCTCTGGTCGGAAACTACTGGGGAGTCTTTCTTATTTTTCCTTTTCTTCCAATTAAAAGGTTAGATGGAATTCTGTTTACTTTTATGGATAAAGCACTTGAGAAGTGCCCTCCTAAAACATTGCTGAACTACTTACAAATACATAAGTAGGCAGAATTGTTTTGTAAAGAAAATCATGAATTTCAATGGTGGCTGACATTAGGCCAGCAAAAGAATTTACAACAATCGTCCTACAGATCATTTGGTTAGTAGTCAGTCCTTCCACCTTTGTATCTATTTAAGACAAATTTACTGGAGATGGAAGCCCTCTGTTTGTGTGTTTTGTGTACAAGCGATATGAGAAGTTGAAGCAGACGGAAAGTGTTCGTAGAGAAATCTCACAAATTCCCTCCGATGGAAATATTTAGTAGTGATACTGAGTGATGATTGAAGGTGTAATGAAAACAAGAACCACGGTTGGATTCGAATTAGCGATAGCTGGGTTTCCAGCCCAGTGCTCTAACAACTGAATCATGAGGTCCGGCTGCTGGCCACATTTTTATTTCACGTCAATCAAAAAGGGTTCTGTCCGACTACCATGTGAATTCGCGATGCTTACCACAGCCTGATCATACTCACACTGGCTACCTAGTCAGGACTTCTCGTCCCAGTTCAAATCTAACTGAATTAGAGAAGGTGAGCATCAGATTGGTCCCTGGTTCAAATCCAGCCATGGTGCAAATTTTCATTTCACCTTCAGTCATCACCCACTATAAATACTAATCTGCCAAACCACGGTTATATCAGGTAGATAAGACAAAAATTTCATAATGATAAGAAAACTATTCATAGAAAAGTAAAATTTATTTTAAAATGACTACTTTCAGTCACTTTCGTTTTATATGACTCGCATGTTAGAAAGTACACACACACTTTCACCAATATAACACATATTCACCTAGATAAGAAATAACATTTATGTTGAATAATGAATACTGAGGGAGGTAAATGAATTTTAAACAATAATCTATAAGGTCGACTATTCTTAGAACTACTTAACAAGTATTCTAGAGTGGATAAATGAATGTGAAACAAGAAAGTGATCAGGCGAAATTAGTGAAAACCTGCTTGACTCAGTGATACTGTCTTTACTTTTAGTGATAAGTAATTCATCTTTGTATCTTTAGAAAAGCATTACTTGCTTTGAATTTACAGAAGTACCCAGATGGAGAGTGTAAGTGAGACAAGAAACGTTCCCTGCTAATCAGCTTTAGACATATTTTAATGTACAATCTATGCCTTAGTGTTATATTATATCACCTTATGACCTCAGTTCATTCTTCATCAATAGACTTTGAACACCACATAAAACTCTAAGATTTACGTTCAAACTGTCAAACAATGTAGGTGTTTCGGGATTCATCTCCCAAATGAAGTCTTCTTTCTAAGAGTACTCAGATCTACAGTACACTTGGATGTCTAGAAACATACACTTTTCTGTAATAATGAGAAAAGTGAGTTAGTCGGAAAAGAACGGAAAGCATGTTAGAAAGAACCAATTGATTTCACCTAGCTTTACATCACTGATAGGTAGATTTAGTAGAAATAACCAAGATGAAGTGATCGCGATGGATAATAACAATAAGCAAGACGTTAATAACGGAATGAGATACATGAAATGAATACGAATAAGGAATGTTCTCTCTCAGATTTGATACTTCACTGAGCCGTAAAAATCAGAAGACAAAGACTGGCCTGTAAATATAGGGAATAACAATAATAACAGTAACTTGAAGCTAAGGTTGAAATCCACAACTTCTACCTTGGCGGCTGATGACCTTGAATGCTGATTTCATTTTAGGCTACTTCCTACCACAAGATGAGATGTTCTATGTAAACACTAGATAATGACTATGCTTCACTGTACAAACAGACCTGTTAAAATAAGATAACTGACAGTGTCATAGTGAAGACAGTTATTGTTTAGATTAAAAGTTGCCTAAGTTATAAAATGTACTCAGTTGGATTTTCATATGTCCATTATCATAGTCCTAGTATTCATGACTGTACTTTGTTCTGGTGGACTCCTAAATATAGTAGTTTAAAGCCGCTTCGTTAGCCTCTCATTTAAAATATTTAACCCCATTTAACTGATTTGTTTTATTTTGTTTATTTAGAGACACAGTGGTCGTTCAAGATTTGCCAAAGAATTGAAATCTCAGGTAAGTTACTTTCCACTTACAATCAATAAAACAATAACGTTTGATTTAAAGTTGAATGTTGTACAAGGTAAATTGTTTTGACTATAAGTGCATTCAGTGACTATATTCTAAAGACTCTATCACCTGTCATTCGTTCACGTATTTGCCATAGAGCGGGAAGTGTAGTTATAAAATCAATTAAGCCGAGGGACTTTAAAGGCCACCCTGCCAACTGCTATAATAACCAATCAGGTTTTGGTATTTCAACTAGAAAAATGGTTTTTCATCAAATATAGAGGCCTAATTGGTTGTTTCGATCGTTGCTAGGATGGCTTTCAAGGTAGCCTGAGGATAAAATGCGACTTCAAAGGTCACCCTAGCAACTGTTGATATAACCAACTACGTTCCTCTATTTCATGAAAAATTACTCTCTCAGATGTGGAATATCTAAACCTGATTGGTCATTTAGGCAGTTGATAGGGTGGCCTTTAAAGTTGGGGGATTTTAAAGGCGATCTTATCAACAATCGAAATGTCATCCCAACGGATTCCATACCGTTCATTGTTTGCTGGATGCGAGAAACGAGGGGCTGGTCAATGTATGAGGTGACAATGTGAGACAAAGGATATATGTATTGGCCTGGCACCATGACTCCCTGGGTGGGGTTAGTAAGATCACGGAACTCGACGGTTTTAGACGTCATCAGATATGGCTCAGAATCGAAACCAGTGGCGGTCATGCTGTAGCTCCTTTCTGTCTTCTGCTGTCGAGAAGTAATGGATGTTCCGCCTTTGAATGTGTCTCAGTGAACTTCCCTCTTAATTGTTCTATTCCTACTATATTTTTCTTTCACCCACTTCCCATCGTTTATATCTTCATAATGTTTGTTATAATAAATAGACTTGATATTATTAGTTCTCAACTGCATGGATCGTTTATGGTTTACTTCCAGTGTAGGAATCAGGCTATTCATAGGAGTATTTCGCTTGTTTACTTGAAATTTCATGTAAAATCATCGCTTCATGGTATCAACTGCTGATATATAGTACAATCTATGGCATTTAATTGACTCAGCAATAACCGCGCAACGACATATTTTTCAATATACTCACACTACTTATATTTTGTCAGTAGATCAAAACTAATTCTCAAATTTGTCTAGGTGATAGAAACAACGCAATGTTTATTGAGAAGCATACCGGCATGTATAAAACAATCTGAATATCATTACTCTTTAGGTCTGTTGCTCAGAAGTAAGGTTTGTGAGATATACCAATTACCACAATACTTAGTTTTGATTACATGTAAAGGAAGTTCCAATATAACTCATTTTCAAATGTCGAATAAGTTCAGTGTTTATTAGCTTTTCTTTGGTTTTTAATTATTTTATTATTATTATTATTATTTTATTATACTTACTGAATGAACTTTTTTCCCTCTCCTTATGAATCATTCCCTTATCAACTACAGACCAAGGGAATGAAAGCGGTTTCCAATCAAATTCTTGAACAGTTGGCCTTATTCATTGGACCATTGTTGAATCAATGTAACGAAAATGAAGACTATGCACCAGCATACATAATTATGCAATTAAGTTTTACTCTATACCATGAAAGTAAGTTGATTAGGAGGCGTATATTGTGTACATAGATATGCTATCCAGACTTGGTCTGAACACTTTCAATTCAACATCAGTGTTCTCATACTTTTCTGCTTGTAATTCAGTTAGCTTATCATCATACAACATGACTAAATAAAAGGCAGAAAAGATGGATACAAAGGCTAATACTTTCTTATCTGGTTGACATTGGCCACTGAAATAACATTTTTAATGCCTTTTGAGTCATCATTTTCCTTTTACTCTCATCCATACTCTACAACTTCGTCTTTTAGTGGCTAAGACAGACTCTGACATTTGAAGTGACTGGCACTAGGTTCGAGATCCAGTGAGAACAACATCACTCATCAAGATGGAGGTATATTCAACTGACGAGTCTAAAACAGGGAAGAAAAGCGTTAGTTGGTTTGAGGCAATCGTCAGGAAGCCCTGGACCTAGGTTCCGAGCTTTTTGGCACTCTTCAGCAAGGCGTATCTTCAACCTCGACGGAACTGATGTCCCGCCTGGGGTTTGAACCCGTGTCACCCAATGTTGTAGTCAGCGACTTTACCACAAAGGTTTGAATCTCAGGCGGGACATCAATTCCGTCGAGATTGCATATACGCCTTGCTGACGAGTGCCAGGGCTTCCTACCGATTGCCTCTAACCAACTAACATCTACTAATGTGCACCACAATGCTGAGTTTCCTAGATTGGTTGCCATGTTGCAAATATGATCGATGGGATTCGTTCTGTACTCAGGAATAGACAATATGAAATTGGTTGCACTCCTGTGACCAATCAATACACGAAAGAAAAACGCATACATGAGGATTTCAATGCTAACCATTAAGCAGATATGCAAAAACCTATTTTTTCTGTAAAAAAAAACTTCATAAATTTCATAGTGTAATTCATTTATACCTTAACTACCATGATTAATTATCACGCATTTGATACTTTGAGATTCATAATTATTGATGTTAACCAATTTATCACTATTCGACTGATATGTTGTTTTTTTTACTAGTATACAGATAGAGATAAGAAGCTCACTTAGATGAAATACTTCTCTCCCATAAAGTGTTTAGCTTCTGTTCAAGCCAATCCTTTTACGGTGTAAGAATTCTATTTCAAGCAACATTATCTGAAGTGAATTTGACTAAACTGACAAGAACTCTATCTGTAACAGATTTGAAAATAATGTATAAGGCTTGAAGATGACTACGTCATATAGTTATCATTTTGATATTATTATTATGACTGTCAGTTTTACCATATTGATCTACATGAAACGAACGAGACTAAGGGAGAGAAGAGTCAGTAGAAAGTAGATGATATTATTGTACTTTGTTACCTATACCAATCTAATGCATATACTTTATCAAAAAGTTAAGTAAGATATAGAATTTGAAGCTCTATGCTATAACAGACTTAAGAAATTGCAAATAAGAATGTCAGAAAAATAGTTACCGAATGTATTGTTTCACTTATTTCACAGGAGATTTTATATAAGAAATATTTTACAGTACTGTATTGTTTTAATCAACTCAAAAGCTGCCTTTTGTCTTCTCATTCAATTTTACACAATTCACAGTTAAGAAATGATTGTATGTTAAGTGAATTCAGTTGTCATGAATCATTCAAGTTTCCGCATATGAAATTGGTTATATCGTTTTCATGAAGACTCATATAGCTAAATGTATAGTAGGACAGTAAGCAGTTAGACGTTTCACATTGTACTGTGAGATAGGAAGATAGATTCATAAAGGATTGAGGATAACAACTAGTTACACGTTCATCTCGCTTCGTGGCTAGTAGATATTGTTAAGCCGTAAACAATACATGTACAACGTTACTCAGTTGGTAAGGCATAGATAGAGTTAAGATCAAGTTACAGCGTCAGCGTTTCTAAATTTCTCAGTTGTCAACTTAACCATATATTGCCAAGGTATATAGGTTTATTTGTGGTTATAAGACTCTAAGACTAGGGGTCTACTTCTCTAGAGTTAGGCAAGATTAAAGATTGATAGCTGATATGTGGTATCGTGTCATCATCAGTCATTTAAGACTCAAGTTTACTCAAGAAATCACGGTTTCATCTATTCGCAGGTATCGTAAGTTTGAGTAGTTTCACTTCTGGCTGAAATTATCCTCATCTAGGCAAATATCGGCATGGAACTTTAGTGAGATTTAAACTTATGGTGTGCTCATACTGTTGGGTAACAAACTATGATCAGTGAATTTCTGTTGCTAACTGTTTCCAATGGCCACTGCATAGTATACAAGGATATCAGGATTATCATACAACCAATACGATCTTTGACTCAAATGTTGACTTGTTTCCGCTACTGACCTCATATGTATCCAATAAGCTATGCATTACCTTGCGTAATAGTGGTCGGCTTGAATAGATTACTTGATCACATTAACGTTCCAGAAATGTCTCGGAATATACGAGGTGTATTTTCAGTTCTTTGAGTATAAGACGGCACCAATCAATGGAGATTGGTAGTTTAGCATGCTCAATAGATTAGTCAAGTCAAACTAAGTGTTGGCATTTCCATATGATCCATGTTTAAGGTAGGGGTATGGAGACAAAAAGTATCCTTTCAAACTTTCTGAAGGTGTACCAAACAACAACAAGTCTAGGATACTGTAAATATGGCAGACTGAATTCGACTAAAACTGAGAGTGGGACGACAAAAGACTGATTACAAAATGTATTCTTGTCCAGGTATTTTCAGTAGCATTTCTAACCGTCAGTCTCTAAAATTTGCTATGCTTCCTTGACCTAATAACCTAATAACCTTTCGATGAAAAGAAGGAAGTTAATTTTATCTTAGCATGCATGTCATATCTGTTTGGTACTGATGATAGATAGTGGCTAACAGTGGAGTTCAGGACGCACATTTCGTTTCATTTGGGACTCGTCAGTTGCAAATATTTGCCCTCCAATGAGTAGTTGTTCCCTCTAGGACTCGGACCCGGGGGCGATCACTTCAAACGCCAGGAGGCCCATGGAGTCACCACAGCCACTTCTTGTGCGACGAGTATAGTTTGCTAGGAATAACAGTAGCCACTGAGAGGCAAGTGCATCCAGCTGGTGAATCTCAAATCGGACAAAGCGCCTGTCCTGATTTATCCTGCTCGTCACTATCTATCATTAATACCAAAGCTGTATCGAGGTATCCGTGCAGTCAACGTCCGGAACTTACAAGCAACAACATACATGTTTTTTTGTTGTCGTTTGTACCTATACACAATAAGTAAAGGATGTCCAACTGTTGGTGGAATTTGTTCATAAGTTTATTTCATGTGACCAGAAGACTTGGAAAAATCCACCCACATCCAAGGCTCCTAACTGTGAACAATGCAAAAGAATCTTTTAAAGTGGGATTTACAATCTTAGGAAATCTATGAGTTTACCACAGATCTGAAATGCATACCACTGATCAATCTTAGCATGTATGAAATATAGATTTATTGATTTTCACTTTCCTTATAATTATTTCCAACATACTCATCAATTAAGTCTACTTATTGTGAAATAGTTTACTTCTACTTTTTATCTCTATGTATAATTGTAATTTATTCTCTGTTTATAGGTGTTTCTTCCAATGAAATTGGTGAACAAAAGTATCTTTATGTTTCATTGAAAGATCAGGTGATATGGCAATCAATGCGATTTTGGAATGCTGCATTTTTTATTGCACTACAAAAAGAACGTGCTGAACGTCAAGCGTATATAGTGTAAGTAAATAAAATAGTTCACTGGTGGTGTATAGTTATAATTCATGATTCTCACTTATACGCTTTATCTAAAACATTAAATTATTTTCAAACAAATTTCTATATAAAATCTATTTCAATGAAGATTTATTTCATTTTGCGTTTTAATGTTGTTACATTTTATAATATTTAATCTAGAACTAATTGACATAACCTTGATTAGTGGATAATTCATATTTTGATGGTATTGTATTCTCTGAGCTGAATTGTTTAATCCTAGGAGTTTTCTTTGTCATTCTAGACAATATTATTAGCACAGACTTCAGGGAGAAGTAGCTTGTTCTGATAGCCTTGTGTGTGATTCGTTGCTTCTGTCAAGGTCGTGTCGTTGCCTTTATACCTATTTTGATTGGTTGTCCTGATGACCTCAACTTTAACCTTCTTCTTATTTCTTATTGGTTGATAGGTTGGGTCAATGTCAATATGTCTATTGATTGCTGACTGACCTGAGAATCAAGCTTCTAAACATTCTCTGGCATTCTTTGCATTTTCTCTATCCAGTATTGGCACATTTGCTCAGTCAAATTCACGTCCATAGTTGTATGTATGTATTGATATGAGCAAAGATATGTAATCACGTTTAACTACTACTTGATATTCATGAAGACGGATACTAAGGAGATACCACTCTGTCCGATGTAGCTTTTTACAGTTTATTTTCTAGATAATGTTTGGTTTGTCTTCTTTTGTTATTGTACCTTTTGGTCTGACCTTGGAGATGCTTTTCACGTAAGGTGAAACACTCGATTTGTTGGTTTTCAAGGTTGACTCCTTGTTTGACGACGAATTATGCAAACGAGTTTTGATGAGGTTGCGTGGACAGCCGTTCTTCTGGAAAACAGCCATACAGTAGTTTCATTCCTTTCTCCTCACGGTTGATGTACTAAGGTGATTTTTCGATCTTTTTAAGAAACAAACGATTTTGTGTGGTGTTGGGTTGTTGCTATCATAATTAAGGATTTGATCAGAATGGGTTGGTTTTCTGTATACTTCAGTTTCTGATTTACCCGACTCTCTTCCAGTGATCAGAACATCTAAAAATGCCAGTCTGTTATTTCATTCATCTTCAACTGTGGATTTGATGTCGTCGAAAATGTTGATGATTAATGTGTAAGTGCTTGTCAATTCTTATCTTTCAATGACGACAAGCGTATCATCTACATATCGGACCCAAAGTTCTGGTTTCATCAAGGGTCAACTGGATCATGCAACAAACTGTGTAGAGGGATAAGTGGGGCATACGCTGACTAAACCAATGAAAAGACTCCAGAAGAAGATTTCTATTTCACCGATGATGATTTATGTCCAGTGTCGCACAAACTCGAAGACCTAAAGGCAAAAACCAACAGGTTGTCAGAAGAGGCAAGGCAGCGAAGATGGGACTTCAGGTGAATGTAGAGGAGACACAGGTGATGAAGATACCCAACCACCACCAACAACAACAAGCACCAATCACCATCAACGGGAGAAACCTAAACAAAGTTGTCTCTTTCACTTACCACTTATTCAGCACCGTTTCAAACACAGGTGGCACAGAAGAGAACGTCAAAGCCAATATCAGAAAGACAGCAAGACAGGCCTTCATCAATATGAAATCAGTGTGAAGATCTACTGCACTCCACTCCACTGTACTCAGCATAAAGCGTGAACATGTTCCGAATTTTCAACACTAATTCAGTCAGATCAGTGCTTCTATATGGTTCAGATATTTGGAGAGTTGCGAAATGCATTTTCAACAGCTACCGCCTACTCTTATTCGATATTGAAGATGGTTTGGCCAGAATAACAAGAATTAGCAACAAGGAACTCACTCTAGCCTGACGACGAACCAACTAACAACTCACCACCCAACAAATGTGCAGCAGAAGAAAGGGGAGATGGATTGGATTGAACATACATTGAGAAGGCTGTTTAAGCATATCAAGCGACAGGTCGGGTCCTTGAGTGGAAGCCGGATGGGAAACGACGAGTTGGACGTCCAAGGGTGACATGAAGGAGATAGTGTGAGGAAGAAATGAAGGCTTGTGGACAGTCATGGTACCAGTTTGAGAAGACTACAGAGAAGAGAGTGGAACGGAGGCGTGCTATTGAAGCCCTATGTTCCACTAGGAACCCAAAAGCCGAATAATAATAATAATACCACAGTTTCCAATCTTTGCATTACTACTTCTGCAATTAGTCGTGATATAGACGATCCCATTGCTGTTCCTTTTTCCTATTTTTAGAGTTTGCCATTGAAATGAAAATATGTTGTAAGGCATAAATCAACTAATTCCATTTATATTTTGAAATGATAATTGTTGAAAAATTATCCTGAACAAATAAAACTGTTAGACGTGAAATTGAACAAGATAATGGCATTGGTAAACAAATTATTCGAATATCTGATGTTTTCTACTTCTTAAATTTACATTTTACCACTAGAATTTATTGCTTTTTTTAACAAAGAAATCTAAGTCAACGCATAACTGAAGAGCTGAAAGGAATAGACGGTGATTTTCTCTTCGTTTAGGCGGATACTTGGAGTTTTCTTCCAACGGGTGCATCTTATTGATATTCAAATTTGATGATAGATAACTTCATGATTTACGGCCTATTAACAAACATTTTTCATCTAACATACTACATCAAATTGTTTCCTTTCAGCTTTCTTTTCATCATTCAAACATATTTTCAAATAGTATTATGTATTGTGACGCCGTTTTAAAACCTTTTCAATCAATCATTTAGGAGGTTAACAAGAAAATCAAATCGATTAAAAATTAATGATTGACAATTAAGCGAAGAAAATTTTCTTTTCAATGAATCATTTTCGAAAGTTGTACAATCGTTATCATACTAGGAACAAAATATATATTGTCCACCAATAGCTAATAGGGCAACACAAGGTCACCAAAAAAGGTTAGTAAAGTCACAAATGATAATGGTTTCAAGGTCAAGTCAAGGTCATCATAGTTGGTGATATAGTTATCTGAAACAATTAGTCCCTTCTGTGAATTTGGTTAATGTAATTGCGCTATATTCGCACAAATACATCATAATTTTTCAGATAGGATTATTGTAAATAAACAAGGAAATGAAATGGTTGTTGAATAATAATAACTTTGAAGAACTGAAATATTCATTTTAAAATGGATTTAATGATTATTACTTGTTATACGTTTTTTAGAAATGGCTTTGACTATGAAACAGATGAGATAATGAAGTTTTTCACTGAGTTACCCTGTAGTGTTAACTTATATCACCGAGGAAAGGTGAGTTATTTTCTCTAGGTTACATACAATCAACGATAAAATTATTTCCTTCCACTACATCAAATGCCTAATCCTAACTAAGGCATACCATGAACTGACGTGACCATATCATACCGATTGATCAGAAGAATTCTATCCGGTATTCTACCGGATATCAACCGATGGCTAACTTGTAAATGGAGATTATTGTTGAAAAGATACAGAAACTGACCTGTGAAGTAACCAAAGTTATTTACTCTAGTGCTGACATACCATCTCACTTGTTAGAATGGACAAAATGATAATTGACTATTGGTTGATTGGAGGTAATCGATGGGAATTTCTTCTCCACTCTGGTCTCTTTCTTATTGGTTGTCATCAATAAGACATGTCAATTACCTCAAAGGAACTGATAGTACCCACGAAACTCGAGTCCATATGAGCCACATGCTTCGTCAATGTTTTCCACATAGTATGAGCTACACACTTATCTTTAACCGTGGTCAAACGTAGTGTAATATACATTTTCTTATTACATTACTAACCGATTTCTGAAAGAATAGTTATTCTGTACTAAAATTGGCAGTCATTGATTCGGTGAAATAACTACATAAACAGTCATATATTCAGGGGAATTCCTCTTCTTTCTGGAGCAATGAATTTTCCCTCTTAGTTCTATCTAACGACTTCACTAATGCTGGAATAGTACTTCAGGGATCATTATATATAAACTTGTGACCGATTGAAATGGGTGTACAACAACAGCTTCCTAAATCATAACGCATCAATTGGGCGAGACTCATGATTGTGTATTAGTCTGTGACTTCACAACTGCCATTCAATATACATAAAGGAGTAGAGAATGATAAATTTTCCAAGGGATGAAAACTGTCCACTGATTTCGTTTAATTATCTGCTACGACGAGATATAGAGATATGCAGTTCACAAAAACCGCTAAATACTTCACTAACCTTGAAAATCACTCCTACTCCTACCACCAGATGACGTTTTCGGTTAAAATATGTCACGTCTTTACTCTTTGTATTAAACTCCCCTAAAATTTTAATTATTTACTTCTCAGAAGTGCTTCTACAATTAAATATCCCTTTCACAAAAAAGGTTCCGACCGTTCACTTAGATTAGCCTACATAAATTACTCTGATTAATATGTAAAAAAAGATGCCTTATGTTAACCACAAAACACCATTTTTCGATTGCAGTTATGCTTTATGATTCTTTGCGATTGATCTTTAAGACCGAAGTGACCAACATCACTCAGTATACATTATTTTGTATGTTAGCTGAACAAAGATAATAGGTTACAAACTCTACTACACCTAGCTGCTTTTCAGCACTAGTCAGCCAGGTGTATCTGCAAACTCAATAGAACTGATATCTTGTCAGAGTTTAGAATGCTCTTCATTAAGCGAAGCAGTTAGAGATGTTACCACCAGGCTATTCAGGCCGCTATTGAACTTTTGTAGGATTGGGTAAACTGATTGGTCAACGGAGAATAACCAATGTTATGTTGTCTAGTACTGAGTACTGACCAAATTCTATCGATGACTCTGCAATGTGAATATCAAGCCTGGGGAATCACCACAGCGATGCATGCAGATTGATGTTAGTTTTAATTAATGTAAACAGAGGTGAAACTATTTGTACTTGAGGGTTTATAGGGGTTAAGAGATTTTTTCAAGTTAGTATTCATCATCGACTGACATCAGTTGGAGGAACATTGAAAATCTGGGGGACTGGGGAGCTGTTTCGTCCTCTCATGGAACTCCTCATCAGCGCGCACCCATGGACCCATCAGGAGTCGAGCCCGGGACCTTGAGGTTCCATGGCAAGCACGTCACCATTGAATCACTGGGTGCACACTAGTGGGGAATCCCACACTGGGACGGAACAGCTATCCAGTGCTTCTAGGTTTCCAATGCTCCTCCAACTGATGTTCATCCATAATGAATCCCAAGTTGAAAAAGAAATTATTCGTCGTGGTATTTGAATAACAGAAGATTATTTAGACCGATAACAACTGATGCCGGTAGCATGAGGATTCACTGTCATGACTTGATAATATTATCAACAATCATACTACGAACAAGTGATGAGTACTACTGATTTCATTATTACTAGGATCCCAAATACGCATGCATATACTATAGTAGGAAGCGTAGCTTAGTTAATACTACTAGTAACCAACTAAAAACGACTTCTTTCATATTTATACGAAGTACCACCAGGTGGCAAGTGTAACCAGCAGGAAACCTTAGTTCTCGTTTTTTTTTACCTGTCAGCAGTCATTAGCAGGGGGCATCTACAACCTTGCGATAACTAATGTCACCTTAGAGACCAATAAACATGTCACCCAGTAGCAAAGTCAAATACATTAGCACTGATTTATTTGGGCTGTGATTCAGTTTTTGTACATTCTAATACCCTCAACTGGAAACCATCTTACATCAGTTATATCCAGTGGTATGAAGTCGTTAAATAGGAGAAAAGAGTTGTCTAATTTTCTGTGGTTTCAAAAATTATCCCAGTTGATGTATATCTGTAGTAATGACTTTTCTCAATAATCTGTCTCATGCAAACAAATCTAATGAACGTTATTGAATTAACGGTTTATATTACACAGTTGTACCCTGAAAAGAGGTTATGAACTAGTTAGAGTATGATGAGCAAAGTTTATTTCAATCCTGATTTTGCAGTGATTGTTTAGTTGCCAGTATTTTATTATCGTTGATTGGACTGAATTGGTCAGTCTCTATTGGTATATGGGATCCTGTGCAGATGCCTCCATATTGCCTGCGTTCTAATTATGTTAATGATGGATTGTGGCTAGCGGTGGAATCCAGGATGCGAATTTCATCCTATTTGGGACTCGTCAGCTGGATGTACCTGCTTCCCAAACGCGCTGGCGTCTGAAGCTGTCGCTCCCGATTCCGAATCCCGGTGGGGACAACATCATTCACTGGGAAGCAGGCACATCCAGCTGATGAGTCCCAAACAGAACGAAATGCGCATCTTGGATTCCACTGCCAGCCACTACCCATGATTACTGATTAGTTACATTTAGAAAAAAACTCCACATTGAATTTAATTAAAAAAGCCTTCTTTAAGGGATAAAGTTAATTTTCTTCTCCAATAATTCTTCAGTTGATTTTTTCTCTATTTCATTTCTCTTAGTCATGAAGGTGAAGATACAATGAAGGTGGAAATGAATTTTCAAAATGACATCGCCTACACTCAGTTAAGGTGAGTTATTGAACGAATAATTAGACAGCGTCTTTCAATTCTATTCAGTTTTATTTCAATTAACAAAAGCTGTTTCACTTGAAAGAATCTAACTGCTTGATCTGACCGTTGAAATTCACCGGTCGCATTTAGCTTTGATCTAACTGAAGCCTATGTCTTCACTAAGGCATCTTAAAGAATGGGTCAAAATGAATCTGGTATGCAAATACTCACTCATGTACAGTTAAGTATTACTGTTCCACCTGTTTCTGGTTGCAAAAGCTGATTTATGGCGATACATAACTGACTGAACTCAGGAAAAACATTTTCCTTCAGCAAGAATACCAGTATACGCTAAGATAATTGAAAACTGACGAAGTGCAATTATTCAGATTGTCTAATAATTATAGTTTAGCATTTATGGATATACTTGTAATTCTCCGTTGTTTTACAGGATCGAATTGTTTGACCTCAACTGGCATATGGCTGGCTATCATGCCTCCGTGGCCTAGTGGATAAAGCCTTGGCGTTTGAAGTGGCGTGCAGGAAGTTTGAGTCTCAGCAGGAATGAAATCGGGTCGTTGGGGTGCAGGCACATCCAGCCGACGAATCGGAAATGGGATGAAACGCGCATCCTTGATCCCCCTGTTACACAAAACCAACCAAATTACCATAATTGATATTCAGGCAATATCGAGGCATCTGCATAGAATCCCATATGCCAACGGAGGTCGAACAATTTGATCCGATACAACAAAGGAGAATTACAAGTATATTAATAAACAGTAATGACTACTACCTGTTGTAAAAGAAGTGGCTGTCGTTCCTCCGTGGCCTAATGGATAACGCCTTGACGTTTGAAGTGATGGATACGAGGTTCGAGTCCCAAGGTGAACAACGTCACTACGCACTGGGGATGCAGGTACACCCAGCTGACCAGTGGGCCCAAAATAGGACGAAATGTGGTTTCTGGATTCCTCTGCTAGCTACAACCAAATAAATTACTATAAGGCAATAGTTTGGTAGAGTAATATGACTGTCTGGATGAAGGTAGGCTGTGACAAACAAAGAAAAATAATTTGAGCAATGATTATCCTATAGAATGTTACTCATGATGAGGAAAGATATAAGTTAGGAGATGAAGGGGTATCTACAGTATGTAGTTAGATAATCTGGAGAGGATATGATGGAATTTATGCGTCTTGAATCAACCTACTGTACCGGTAGCTGCAACTCTTGCTTTATTGAGCACATAATCACGGTTGCTTGATGCTGATTGCTACTGAGTCTAAAGTCTGAAGAATTTGGAGAGGGGTACCTTTTGGTAAGTTGATGGGAGGCTGGTGCAAACTGGAAAACGACTCATTCATATCCACTTTGTGATTCGTTTCAACCAAGTATGTTAATGTGGAACTGGTGATGGTAATTACCACACCTTTACTTATGGAAGCTAGAAGGTGTTCGTGGGTATGGAAAATTAAATTTCTAGAGCAGTGGCCAATGTAAATGGTCTAGGCGGAGCAGTTGAACTGCCAAACACAATGGGAAGTCCCCGGTCTAGGCAATTCATCTTTCACTCTTAGTGTCACCACTGGGCTTGTGGAAAACTTAATCTCTAATTTGCCACCACTAAACGTTCTATGAATTCATCTATTTGATCAAAATTCCTCTTGAAAAAGCAACAGACTCTCCTGTTACTGGTTTTTAAACAACAAACCAAAGTATACAAAATAATGTAAAACACTTTCAGAAAGGGAAGAGTGATGGTTGTCATGGAGCCATCTCTACAGTTCTGAGATTAACTGATGAAATAGATTAGGTATGTTTTGCTAATTCAATTTTTAAGGTAAATTAAGACAAAATACTCCCACACCATTCAGGAAGACTAAAAAGTGTTGATCTTTGGTTTAGTTTTAAAAAGGCTCCAATTTAGTACTCTTAAACTTGGAGAGGCGTCACGAAAAGCATTTCCAACAAACTGTATACATACATCCTCAACATCTACACCACCTACACTCACTCCATACTGACACTGAAGATCAAATAGCCAGAATGGAATAATGAGAATAAGCAACAAGGAACTCACTCTGGTTGGCTGGCAATGAACCAACGGAGAATCTATCGCCCAACAAATGTGTGGTAGAATAAAGTGTAGATGGATTGGATTGGATATACACTGAGAAGACGGTTTGTAGACATCACGCGTCAGACCAGACTAGGTCGTCGAGTGGAACCTGAATGTGAGAGGATGAGTTGAGTATTCGAGGGTGACATGGAGGGGATGATGTGAGGAAGAAATGAGAGTTTATATTCAGTAGTGGAGTCAGGTTGAAAAGACTGTATAGAAGAGAGTGAAATGGTGACGTGCTACTGAAGCCCTATGTTCCTGTAAGAACCCAAGGGGCGAATAATAATGATAAATCACTTTCAGTAACACAGTTATAACGATTGTTGAACACATTACAAAGTGTAGAAAAGCCATACTTAGATACTATGGTATAAGGTTCTATACTCCTGATAGTTAGTTATTTGGTTGAATGCAAGAACTAGCCATTGAAGGGAATTTGAATACTTGAGCTCAGTTGACAGCTACAAACCAGCATGTAACCTTCTTCAAAGATATATGTGGGTTAGGCTGTCTAACCACTGAACATGGAAACAGCCGATAGGGTCATTCGTCCGCACGGCTAATGAATCCCATAATGGGACAAAACGGCTGTCCAGCTCTCCTCGGTTTCCAGTGGTTTTCCAACTGATATGAATCCAGGATACATACATAATTTGAATCAATACACAAACTCAGTATAGGGACTCATAACCTGCAGCTTCAATGGTATTCCCTAATACGTCAAATTTTTGAACTTCCCCTATTCGTTGCTACAATCATGGAGTATATTAGTCACTTACTAGTCTCTCTCCTAGCGTTTATTCCAAATTTACAGATGGATAACTGTAACAAGAATGAGAAGTGTGCCAGGATCCCATCTAGATACTAGCAGGCTACCTACACTATGTTTTCATTTGAATAGTATTGAATACTTTTAGACAGAACACTGAAAAGTTGTAAGAAAACAAGAAGAAGACCTGATTAATAATCTATCCTGATAATTTTCTTAGGTAACATGGCGGTTTAAAATTATTTCTCGGTACTGGATCACTACGTGAACTTCTTTGATTGATATGCGCATTTATTTTTGGCATCATTCATCTGGAACTGATGTCATTTGGAGAACCACTGAAAGTCTGAGGACACTGGCCAGGTGTTAAATCCTTGCATGCGACTTCATAGCAGTGTACACTCACATTCCCACAATTGATCGGACTGAGGACCGTCAAGTTTTAGTTTGTTGAATGTGATCAACAGGAATTAGTTTTCGTCCTTATTGGCACTCATCAGGTGAGCGTATCTGCAACTTCGAGGGAATCGATGTCCGCTGTGAGATTAAAACTACCATCACCCCGCGTTACAGTCAACGATATTATAACTGAGTTATTTTGGGTACAATTTACCTCCTGTAGGACTAGAATACATCAAATTGCATCAAAGCGCACCGAGATGATGAGCCTCCAAGCTTGGGAGGCCACACTGAAAAATGATCTATGAAATTTGATCAGCAGTCGGTCATCAGTCAATGTAACGCAAGTTACGCAGTCAGCATGTTAACATTCAGCCTGTCAGTTGAAGTCCAATGATCCTTTATATGCTAATTCTATCAGCTCTTGATATAGCGTTACTATCATCTAATATCATCGGTGAGTAAGAATCTTCACTGTCGACCTAACTTAGCGCACAGCTATCCAGCAATGTCAAGTTTTCAGTGGTTGTTTAAGTGATGTTTATCCGTGGTAAAATTAATCAATTTTTACAAACTATGGAAAGAATTATTCATTTTGTCTCTCTCAGTTACATTCTGAAAAGGTGTGTACGCTTTACTAACGAAAGCGCATATGGACTTTAGTTGCTAAGCCATATGAAGAAGTTGGTAACAATTTATAAATCTACTAGGAAGAATACCAATTTATTTTAATTATTATCATTCACCCCTTGGGTTCTTACAGGAACATAGGGCTTCAGTAGCACGTCACCATTTCACTCTCTTCTATACAGTCTTTTCAACCTGACTCCACTACTGAATATAAACTCTCATTTCTTCCTCACATCATCCCCTCCATGTCACCCTCGAATACTCAACTCATCCTCTCACATTCAGGTTCCACTCGACGACCTAGTCTGGTCTGACGCGTGATGTCTACAAACCGTCTTCTCAGTGTATATCCAATCCAATCCATCTACACTTTATTCTACCACACATTTGTTGGGCGATAGATTCTCCGTTGGTTCATTGCCAGCCAACCAGAGTGAGTTCCTTGTTGCTTATTCTCATTATTCCATTCTGGCTATTTGATCTTCAGTGTCAGTATGGAGTGAGTGTAGGTGGTGTAGATGTTGAGGATGTATGTATACAGTTTGTTGGAAATGCTTTTCGTGACGCCCCGCCAAGTCTCTCAACCATCACATGGAAGCACTGAGTTACTTGACTGAATTAGTGTTGGAAATCCGTATGTAGTTCACACTGTATGCTGAGTGAAGTGGAGTGAAGTGAAGTGAAGTGAAGTGGAGTGGAGTGCAGTAGATCTCCCCACTGATTTCAGATTGATGAAGACGTGTCCTACTGTCCTTATGATCGTGGCTTTGACATCCTCATCTGTGCCTGTGCCGCCTGTATTTGAGACAATACTGCCTGGGTAGGTGAAATAGAAAATCTCATGGTGATCGTTAAGTTTTTAGCAGAACCTAAGTTATATCGATTCCTAACTGTGTCGTAGGCTCTTCCTTATTATAATCGGCCTTTTTCTTTTTCAAATTTCGAGTATCCAGAAATAACCTGAGCTGTAGACTAAACATTAGTCATTCAGCATTGTTAACATTCTGCATGTAGACATATCTGCTTATATCTATGAACCGTTTGTTTTCAAACAGTATAAGTTCCAATATAACTTGGAGAAAAGAGAATCAGATTAAATAAGAAATTCCATTTTGTAATACTTTATTAATGAAAACCAAAAGTCTGACACTAAATCGATCGGCCTAGCTAACTGAGTGTTTGTTGAATTTCACCGACTAAAGTTAATTAGAACTATAAAATATTAACGGTATGTGTGCGTTCGATCGTATGTAGTAAAACAACAAGGGTACAAAGTCATATCCTACTTTCCTTCTGCAATAATCATAACAAAACAACCTGTTCATAAGGAATAAGTCAATGATCCTGTTTATAATGATTCACATAAACGTTCAGTTGTATTTACCCATCTATTTTTGTATGCATCTATTCTTATTTTCGTCTTTTTTAGTTCATGCGTAACGACTTTAATCGTAATGTTTATTAAGCTAATTAATATGTCAGATTGATTTTTCTGCGTAAACACTCATGAACTAATCCATCATCCCAACCTAATCACTGAAAGACTAACCATCTACAATATACTAGAAGCATATTGTAAAGGTCATAAAATACAAAAAATAATTCTGAGTGATAATTTGCCTACTTATTTACATATTTAAGTAACATAATTATGAAAGCGAAGTTTATGAAATTAGTCGATAGGTTTGGTGGAGACATCAGGTAATTTTGTGTGATTGCAGATAACCAACTTGCTGAAGTTAAAAACTACTCACATTTCCTGTTCTCATGGTTTATGCATGTTACGTGCTTAAATAAGAGAAATTTGTGTGGTCTTTGCAAGAACTGGCGCGGAATCATTTTTGTTATTGTCTTTTATGCCTGCTGAAATTAATACAGTTTAACTTTCTGAATAATTTTACATTACCCTAATTGATTAGTGGGTGGCTGATGGAGTTTAATCTTGGCTTCTTTGCAGACTGACTATGTTTAAATAGATCCAAAAGACAGTGGAGGTAGTTAACAGTGGACTATAGCTTAGACTTATCAAAGAAACTGGAGCAAAATGACCAGTGGTTAACGAGACTATAGAGGAGAGAAGATTAGAAGGACAGGCCGAACACCTCCAGCCACTGTTCCATTGCTCGCTGCCCATTGAAATCCTGAATGGAACATGGAGAGAGAACTCCAAACATTGACAGAAGTTAAGAGAGCCGTTGGTAACCTGGAACGAAAAAGAGCAGCAGGGTGGGAAGAATTAGTACCATAAGTGTTAAGGGAAGGTGGCCAATGATTATTCTTCACATTTACTATAGTGTTAGCTAGCGTAAGGGAGCCAGATGTGATCTCCTATGGCTGGTCTCAATAAGTGACTAATAATCTTCAAGAAAGGTGAGAGGTCCTCTTGGGATAACCGCAGAGGAATCAGCCTGACGAACCTAGTGTCTAAGATTCTAGGTTCTATATTCATTATACATCTGCTTTGAGCTCCGAAGCAGTAAAAGCAAGAAATCTAGACAAGCTTCAGACCTAGCCTTCTGTATTTCAATCAGCTTTTCAATATTCACGGGGATCTGAAGCACAGGTACACTTATCAACGGCTGACACTATCTGTGTTTCTCGACCTGAAGACGGCGTCAGAGCCCGTTAATCATGAGGTCTTATGTCAGTGTCTCTCACTAAAAAGAGTGACGAGTAAGCAAGTCACTCTCCTGGAACACTCATGGTCATACTGGGGCCCATGGTGAGTTGTGCATGTCAAGTGGTGTTTATCAAGGATATCTTATCTCTCCATTCTCATTAAATTTTATCATAGATGTTCTTATGGAGGTCTCCCCCTTGTCGTCTGACTTCATAGGGACTGATATAATCACGGAAGAATCCTTGGAATATCTAGAATACGCAGATGATATATTCCTGTTAGGTGTAAATGTTGGCAAGATGCAGCCTAATGGAAAATTTGAGAATTCTTGTGATGCATTTCTTACCATAAAAATTAAATTGCTCTTCCAGGACCGGTTTTCTGTGGTTCCCCTATCTAACAATAAGGAGTAAAATGGTTGAGGGTTAACTAGGAAGTTGGATTAGACCTGATTGGTCAGTGTCGGGAAGGCCTCCGAAGGGATATAAAATGGTAGATCTAATTTCGCCAACCCTCATCATTTGTGGCACCACTGATGTATCCGACTAGCTACTGAGGGTCTGCTGTGCTGCCATGCAACTCGGTCTGCCGTGTTGAGAAGTTGTAGAACACGGGCATTCAAGGCAGGAGTTACGACAGCGCTTCAGATGTTTGACCGCCATCGTCTCCGTAGTATAGGCCTTGTTTCCTCGTGTCAACACGCCAGTAACGGGCAATCAGGTATAGAGTTTTAAGGAAGAGAGGTCAGACAATTAATACGGTTGGGAAATGCCTTGGGTATGTGTTACGTGTGCTTAGCTACTGTCTGACTCATCGCACAGTGTTGGCCAAAGTAAGTTCAGGCTAGAAAAAGGACCGGAGGGGGGGGGGCAGACTGAAACATGACGTCAGTGCATGAAGTCCATGATTGTTTGTTTGAGAAATATAGGGCAATGTAGGCTAACTGGTTTGGGTCCTCGGGACAAGAGGAACCAGTGATTGGAGACTGCAGGTGATATGGCTGGGAAGTGATGTCAGTTGTGCACATGTATCCACATATTATCCCCATCTTAATCATCATACTGGTTTGAGTACTTTCTCCTCCTTCCTAGGAGGAGGAGACATGTTCCTCTCTATCCTTTTATCTTCCATCTTAGAGCTTTCTCGCCTACTGTGGTGATATGAAGTGTGGCAACTTGCATCGTTATGCGGTAATACTCTACCCCAAGTTGGTGGTATTGATGAGGATGATTAGAGGTGGAGTGTAAACCTGAACTGGGATAAGAATGAGACCAGTGACTATCAAATTACTGGTCTGGCGTTCTACAAAGTTACGACCCGATCAGCAGCTGGATTTCGTTTTTCATTTAGTACAGTGTCGATAGAGGTATCTATTTCAGCTTCAGTCATCACTCAACATCAGTGCTCTAAACAGACATATGACATGATTTCATTTGGGTAAGAGGACAAACTAAATGGGTGTTAGATATCTGTTAGTTGGTTGGAGACAGTTAGCAGGAAGCCCTGGATCTAGGTTTCGTGTTTGTTGGCACTCCTCAGCAAGGCGTATCTGCTAACTCAAGAGAACTTATCTCCTTTGTGAAATCTGGACCCAAGTCACCCAGCTTTGTAGTCCACAAGGTTATCACTGAGCTGTTTAGGCCGCGACTGACCCCCTGTAGGGATGATTTGAATACATCCATTGGTCAATAGACAGCAAATGGTTTCCTTTTGTCTAGTACTGAGTTTTGACTAGATTCTGCTGATTATTTTGATATGTGGCTACTAAACTGTGAGCTCACCATCGTGATGCACTTTGACGGAGTCGTAAGTTCAAACACTGGTTCACCAACTAAAGTTTCTGCAACCTCATAGAATCAGTGACTCCACACTGCGAAACAGATACTGCTTGTTGTCTACTGCACGAACATGAATAAGGTTTTCAAATGTAATTCGATTCGAGAAGTTTAATCACCCTGAATTTACTTGCGTGCTAAATCTAGTGAAGACATTTTGTTAGTTGAATGGCTGAATAATGTTAGATAATGTTAACAAAAGCTTAATATTATGTTACGAACTTGTTCATACTTCAATGGGAGTAAAGAGAGTATTACAGAAATGAACCAGTTCGATACTAGTGACACTGAAGACTTGGTTTGTTTCTGCACATCAGTGATACAGTTTATCATGCATTGTTTGTTACGAAAACAGATAATGCACGTCAGGTCAGGTAATCATCAATATGGGACCATGAATTACTGCATAACGGTCCACACATCATATCACCACACCAAGTAAAAGAATAATAAAATGGAGAATGAAGAAGGAAACAAGGAAACAAAAATCGGTCGAAAGAAGTAGAACATAGTAAGAGAGAAGGAGTAGTTAGAAGATGATGAGAATAAGCATGACCATTTGGATGAGGATAATGTGTGGATGCATCTGCGTCACTCACATCGGTCCTGAGCCATATCACCTACAGTCAGTGGTTTCGCTTGTTCTGACGACCCAACCGGTTTGTCTACATCGCCCTGCATGGTTCAAATGAACAATCAAGGACTTCATGCACTGATCCTATGTTTTGATCTTAGGGCCCCGATCCTTTTTCCAGCCTGAATCTACTTTGGCCAACATTGTGCGATGAGGCAGATGGTGGTTAAGCATACTTAACACATGTCCCAGTCTATGAAGGTTCAGAACTTTATCAACTTACTTATCTATCCTACTTTAAGCTCTACGCCTGACTTCTGAGTTACTGACTTGGTGACACGACGAAGTAAGGCCTATACTATGAAAGTAGCAGTGGTCTAACAGTTGAAGCCTTCTCATGTCTACTAATTTTAATGTGCAAGTTCCATAGCCATGCCGTAGTACAGAGCGGACTGTAGCTCAGTACACTTGAGCCTTAACAGACAATCGGATTTTCATTATTAAGTAAATACTCGATGGTAGAAGCTGATTTACGGTATATATTAACTTTCTGATGTATGTATAGATTTGATCCGAAGCAGTTTACCTACTTCAAGTTGTAATATGTTACTTTGAAGGGAAGAACCATGTGACGAACACCAATTACAACCAGTAACCTACTAGTCTTACAGTTCAGTTTATCATATATATTCTTATGAATTAAATTTACGCGCAACTATCTAGTTACTTGAGTAGAAGTGTCTTCGGATCACCACTTCATTTAACTAATAATAAGGGTCGATAATTAAATCTCCTAAATTTAGATGAAAGTATGTTAGGAAATTGAACAGTTTACCTCTCATATTTGTCAGTGATTATCATGGAACTCCAAGAAATCATTACAGTGGAAAGTGTTATGCTAGCTAATTTAATGATTATACCCTTGTAACTGTTAGTGTTTTTTTTTCGTATTCTGTCATTTGCTTTCTCGTACACCCACACACACTCTCCTTTTACCAATTTCTGTTTCAGCAAATTTCTCTGGCGCATGTACACACTTGGAATAGGACATGAAGTGTGCTTGGATTTTCTGCGCAAACAAGCCAGTGCGACAAATTTACCTGCTGGTAAGATTTTAATTTTCTTCAACACATAGTAACACCCTTATTTCACGAAATGATGATACTAGTTATATATCGTATGCATTATTATTTGTTATTTGTTCCTTGGGTTCTTACAGGAACATAGGGCTTCAGTAGCACGTCACCATTTCACTCTCTTCTATACAGTCTTTTCAACCTGACTCCACTACTGAATATAAACTCTCATTTCTTCCTCACATCATCCCCTCCATGTCACCCTCGAATACTCAACTCATCCTCTCACATTCAGGTTCCACTCGACGACCTAGTCTGGTCTGACGCGTGATGTCTACAAACCGTCTTCTCAGTGTATATCCAATCCAATCCATCTACACTTTATTCTACCACACATTTGTTGGGCGATAGATTCTCCGTTGGTTCATTGCCAGCCAACCAGAGTGAGTTCCTTGTTGCTTATTCTCATTATTCCATTCTGGCTATTTGATCTTCAGTGTCAGTATGGAGTGAGTGTAGGTGGTGTAGATGTTGAGGATGTATGTATACAGTTTGTTGGAAATGCTTTTCGTGACGCCCCGCCAAGTCTCTCACCATCACATGGAAGCACTGAGTTACTTGACTGAATTAGTGTTGGAAATCCGTATGTAGTTCACACTGTATGCTGAGTGAAGTGGAGTGAAGTGAAGTGAAGTGAAGTGAAGTGGAGTGGAGTGCAGTAGATCTCCCCACTGATTTCAGATTGATGAAGACGTGTCCTACTGTCCTTATGATCGTGGCTTTGACATCCTCATCTGTGCCTGTGCCGCCTGTATTTGAGACGATGCTGCCTGGGTAGGTAGGCGAAATAGGCAACTTCGTCTAGATTTCTCCCGTTGATAGTGACTGGTACTTGTTGTTGTTATTGTTGGTGGTGGTGGAGGTTGGGTATCTTAATCACTTGTGTCTTCTTCACGTTCACTTGAAGAAAGTCTCGTCTTCTGTCGCTGCTCGCCGCACCTCTTCTGCCAACTTGTTTGTTTTCGCCTGTAGATCTTTGAATTTGTGCGACATGACATTGGACATAAATCATCATCGGTGAAATCCAAATCTTCTTCTGGGGTCTTTTCATCGGTCCAGCCAGCGCATGCTCATCTTCTCACGGCTCCTTACAGTGGCCTGTTGGATGATCCAATCAAGTGCACCACAGCACAACCAGGAAGATAATCGGTGATGACAGCTGGCAGCCTTGGATTACTCCTTCTTGTCTTCACTTCAAAGGCGTCTCTGAGCTTCCAACTGTGAATCACTTGGCATGTGGCGACGTCATCAAGATGCTACAGAATGAGGTCGATAAATATTTTTGGCACTGAAACCTTAATGTTGAAGCAGCTGCCTGCCAAATTACTTCTCGGTCGACGCTCTCGAAGACCTTGTCAAAGTCGATGAGGTAGAGTTGAGTTGACTGCCATTCTATGCTTTGTTCTATGTTGATGCGTAGCGTAGTGTAGCAATTTGATCCGCACATGATTTGTTCTTCCTGAAGCCAGCCAGCCAGCCTTTTTCGGTCGTAATTTTGAATGCAGAGCATTGTGTAGTTTCTCCAGGATGACGCGGCTCAATATTTCGCTTGTTTGATCTGGGCAGCATCATGATTCCGCGCCAGTTCTTGCATAGACATAGAAAACCCACCCTTTTTTGGTAGTTTGACAAGGTAACCCTTCATCCAGTCAGTCGGAAGGTACCTGCATTTCCTTCCTTCCAAACCTTCTGTAATAGTGGTATGAGCATGTTCGCTGTTGTCTGTGTGTCTGTTTCCAGTGCTTCTGGCGGAATTCCATCTGGTCCTGATGCTTTCTCGGCCTTCAGCAACTTCATGGCTTTCAGATCTTCACTTCTGCTTTTGTTGGAGTGCTTGTGTTCACTGATAATTCTCTGGCTGGGCTGCTGGTAGTAATTCTGGGCGGGTTGCGGATGGTGATGATGATGGTGGTCGATTCAAGAGTTTTTTGAAGTGGTCAGCCCATCGTTTCCTTTGTTCCTCCTCTTTGGTGGTAACTAGCTTTCCTTCACTATCTTTCATTGCTTTCGTCTGTGTTGATCCCTCCCTTCCCAGATAGTAACTTGATTATTTGATACAATGTTGTCAGGTCTCTCACTCTCCTACCTGCAGCCTGTTCTGCTCCACTTGCCAGTGTGTCGTAGAAGTGTCTTTCGTCTTTCCGCTAACTCTTCTTCACTTCTTTGTCCAGTGTAGTGTTTTATGCATTGTACTCAATTCCTCTTTTCGTTGTTCATCCCTGCACTGCAATACACTGTTCTGTTTTGTTCGCCCATCTTCTCCTCCCTCCTCTATCAGCTTCCATGTGTCCATCGAGATCCGTCCCTTTTCTTGTTCCTTCTTCCTTCTTAACACGTTTATGCAGACTCCTTTTCACATAGTTTTCAAAGAGTCCTAGTGTTATTCCACGCAGGTTTCCGCATAGACGTTTCTTAATGTCCCCCATTTTTTGTTGATGTTTGACGTGAAGATGTCCTTTGTAGTTTCGTCCTTCAGTTTCTGATCTGGGTGTTGAACTTGAACTATAGTCTATCACCAACTTCTTTGAAGGCTTTCAAATCGATTCTGAAGGTTCCTTATACTAGATACTTTATGTAACAGGGGTGTATACTTGAAAAAACATTGCAAATTCATGTTGAAACTGTGATTTCATAAGTGTGAGCTTTTATGACAAAATGAATATAGGCACAAATGCGGATTCACCTAGAAATACTTTAATTATGTTACTGAAACTGACATTGTGACCAGTTAACGAAGTCACAGAAACTGTGGTGTAATTATAATTTGATTGAACTTTACGAAGTAGCTTGGATATAAATGGTTGACTTTCGTCTTGAGTTCATTTTATTGGCCAGTTGGTTATGGTCGAGTTTTGCTCAAAGTTTAGGTTTCAAACATACTATTACGTAATGTTTGGTTGTTATGTAGTATGTTACACGTAGAGCTTGTCATATCTTGTTGTTAGTGCAAATGGGAAACGATCCTGACAAAAAAGTCTGTAAGAAATGCCTATAATGACCAAACACTATAACCGTAGCAGTTAGACAATGATGGGTTCAGACAAAAACATACTTCAGGTTGTTATTCATAATGGACTGACATCAGTTGAAGGAACTACGGAAACCTGAGAGCACTGGACAGCTGTTCCGTCCTAGTACGAGACTCCTCAGAAGTCTGTAGCCATGAACCTGTAGTGGACCGAATTCAGGATCTTCAGGCTCCCTGGACAACATGTTACCATTAAGCCATTGGTTCGAAGTTCAGTGGTCCATATTTCTAACTTCTATCGGTTCACTATATAGCCCGACCTGTATCCAATGCCATTGTTGAGTAAATGTTCTTGTGTACGACTTGATTAGCCCCGCCAGTAATTATTTCTCACTGGAACGTCGGGAATGACGCCTCGAAGTTAGCCTCCAATGATCATTAGATCAATGTCAGTTCGAAGGTTTGTGAGAATTTATTGGTTTTAGGTTGGTGTTCATCACCAACCTGATGACACTGGACATCTGTTTCGTCCTAGTATAGGACTCCTTAGCAGTAACATTCATGAAGCCACTAAACTGAAAAGTGATTAGTCCTTCTCTAAGTATTTGGATGACATAGTTTTAAAGAGTGAATTAGATAAGATCAAAGTTTCCGGTAAGAAACAGAATTTTTTATTGAGGCTTGAAAAATGTTTCTAGTCTCGACTTGAAACTGCCTGAAGCTTCATTGACCCACCTTTTTATTTGATGTTGAAAAGTAATACACGTATATTTTAGTCAGATTTATGCCTTTCTAATAGGCATTAGAAAGCATCTGCACAGTCAGTGTTATCACTATTACTAGAAAGCCAGAATTGCAATCGGTACACAATGAACAATTACTTCTAAGGAGCAAAACTATTTAATTCAGTCTCTAAAGGAAGTATTTCAAGTTGTTATTCATCATAGACTGACATCACTTGGAGGAATAAAAGAAACCTGGGAACACTGGATAGCTGTTTCGTCCTTGTTTGGAACTGCTCAGCAGTGAGCAACCACGACCTCACGAGGGATCGAACCCGCAACCTTCAGGCTTCGTGGCCATCACGTTACTCCCTCAAAATTCAATTGAACTGGTACTCATTTGTGACTAGCTTCGAGAGGTATTCTCGAAGTTCCAGTGAGAGGTCGTGACCGGTGGGGCAAAGCCTGATGGTCGTGAGGATAGTTACTCAGCGATGACATTTGGTGGCGGTTGCACTATTTCGTGAGCTAACAGAAGTTGGAAATATGGACCATTGGATTCTGACCCAGTGGCTCAATGGTAACGTGATGGCCACGAAGCCTGAAGGTCGCGGGTTCGATCCCTAATGGGGTCGTGAGTGCTCACTGCTGAGGAGTCCCATACTGGGACGAAACAGGTTTCCTTTGTCCCTCCAACTGATGTCAGTCTATGATGAATAACAACCTGAAATAAAATTTTATTTGTTTTAAAGAATCAATGAGGATGTAGGTTTGAATTTCATCAATATATAATTCAATGTTCAATATCAACTAGATTCAAGATTCAAGGACTACTACAAAATGAAAAATGTTTTAGCCTATTTCACGTCTTTTTATTATGTTTTATTTTTGTCAGAAATGGTGAAGACGATTCAGAGAAATGTTCAACATTGCTTTGAAACATCTGATCATAATCAAATTGAATCTTATCGACGGTAGACATAAGATTGATAAATAAATCAAATACCTATTATATTTATTTAATGATTTTCATTCCTAAAGCATACTGTTATAACTAACTATGAAGGTTTTATTTTGTGTACTACTCACGCTGATTATCTATTCATAACTAAAAGTTGGAGAAAATCTTTCTGTTTATCTATCTATGTTTAATGGACACTTATATTTCTGTTCATCTTTTGTGTTTCTTCCGGCTACAACTTTGCTTTATCACTGATCCATGTTGACTATTTATTTGTTTACGTTTATTCAAATTGTTTTCAGAACTAATCTCATCAGTTAATCGATCTGTCTGTCTATGTGAGTGTGTGTGTGTGTGTTTGTGTATGTGTCCCATTCCACATGTGGTTTGATTTTGTTTTGTGACAAGTTTATATTTTCGCTTAATGATCTCATGTGATTATATTTTGCTTTGTTCTGTAAGTTTTGTCATCGAATTGTTCATTTGTCAATAGATGGAATTCATGAATAAGAATGTCATATTTCTTGTTTGCTTGAATGTTTTGAAAGAAAATCCAACACCAAATGTTAACCTGGAGTTGTATATTCTTTAATCATTAATTACCGAAATCTATCGTTTAAGTTGTTTCAACACCAATGTCAAATCAGTGCTTCTATGTGGTTCAGAGACTTGGCGCGTTACGAAGGGGATTTCCAACAAACTACTGATATTCATCAACAATTGCCCCCTACGCTGGCTCGTTACTGAAGGAAGTGGAGATGGATTGGGCATACACTGAGAAGACTGGTCGGGGACACCACGTGCCAAGCCAGGTCATGCCCTGGAGTGGAACCCCGATGGGAGGCGACGAGTTGGGCTTCCGAGGTGAGGGTGACATGGAGGAAATGACAGCTTGTGGGCAGTCCTATAGCGAGGTTCAAAGACTGCAGAGAACAGTGTACAATGGAGACGTGCTACTGAAGCCCTATGTTCCACTAGGAACCTAAGCGACAAATAATAATCACAATAGCGAACTGCAAACTATTTACAGATTATACTGTGTATATTAATATCAGTTGCAAATTTTACAACTGCTCAACTATGGTGTCAATAGGGATTCTGTTAGGATTCACCGAGTCAAGGTCACATAGTATGGTCGGTGAAACAAAACCCTCATCTCCTATGAATTTATTGGTTTCAGCTAGCCGAATTTCGTTGATTTAACCAATTCGGTTTCATGGACTCAATTTTTTTAGATGGCATCGATGATATGCTTGGCTCCAAAGGGGTAAAACGATCGTTGACTAATTAGATCTGGCCGGGTAATACGACCGGGCATAGTAAGTAGTTTCATACAATTCATATCATCTAGTAGTTGAAGATATACAGCGGTTTATGTATTGTTCTCTGCTGTGGTATTTTCACTAAAGGAATGTTCACAAGACAGGCCGGGAACAAATAGCTCAGAAATAATATATTTAAAAACAAGTAAGAAATATATAGACAGTAGGATATAACAGAGTCATAAATTTCGGAAAAAACTCGTCAGCTAGATACTTTGCAGACCTTAATTACATACACCATGATGAAATACAGGGTGATATTATACATATATGCATTTAGCCTTAGGACACCGAATACGCCATAACGATATATAGAGTTTTTGAAGACTGTTCAGTTGGGAGAACCGTCAGTGTTGTCTTAAAAATTAAAATTCGATTACATCATCGTGAATAAGACAGTTGGTTAGTGATTGGTGAATGATTACTCGTAGTAGATCCGCTCATTAAGTGGAATAAGTTGGTAAGGAATGAAAGAGGAATATGATCAGAACAAAAAGTAATAAACTAATAACAAGAGTAATTAATTAGCTAATTCAGAGTATGCTAAAAATGTTACCATTTCTTTCTGAATACAAAGATTTGATTAGTGAATCAGAATTATGTACACCTTCTCCTTCTTTCATGATATTGATTCTACCGAGTTATTTACAGTGATCGTTAGACAACCGAATATGAAACAGCTGGCCACAGAAGAAACATTCTTATCCTATTTCATAAATCACAAGTAACTTGCTTCAAGATGAGATCTCCGAAGTTATTATAAGACGTCGTGACTGATAGAGTCAATCAAGTTGGATATAAGGACAGTTACTCAACTACAAAAATGGTTGGAGGTTATGTTGTATCTTGAACTGATAGAACTAGGAAATGTGAACAACTAAATTCCAGCCCATTGGCCTAATCGTACCTGAAGGTCCTGAGTTCGACCCCTGGCGGGACAATGGGTGGGCGTTGATAGGATCTCCCATACTAGGAAGAAACAGTTGCCTAGTGCTCCCACGTTTGCAATGTTTCTACAAATGATTCCGGTCTATAGTGAATACCTACCTGTAATCAATAAATAAATCCTTAAAAACCTTCAAATTGAATTCAACTTTAATTCTTGTACTTTTTAAGTCACTATTTACAATCCTCCCAACCTTTCACAAGTCTATTGGACAAGGTTCAAAGATTGTTTATGTTTCTATGCCTTATTCTTTATCCTCGACTGAGATGCATATGCGTATCTCACCCTGTATTACATCATAGTATTTTTAATCAAGTATGCAGACTAATTAGCTGAGGAGTTCTACCGAAATTTATGAAGCCTTTATATCCTACATTGTATACGTCTGTTACTTGCCTTAAGCTTGCATCAAGAAAGAATTATTTCCCTATTATAATTACTTCATTTGTTTATGAAAGGCTACAGAACTAAACTGAAGCATAATCTAATGTCTTCAATGTTACTGTATGATGAGAAGAGTGGTCTAGGAAGGTGGTAAACACAAGAAATCGCGCCAAAGAAAAAAGTATTACATCACAAGGATTAAAGTCGCAGCTACGAAACGCTACATGCATAAGAATACAATAAAAGTATTCGTTTATAGGTTTGTGTATCAAACAATGAGTCGAAACCAACTATGTTGCGGAAACTTGTTAATCAAACTTTTGTAGGTGGTAACATTGGGTTTGAATATATGTCTGTCTACTTAAATGTTGAACACTTGAGGTAATGAACCATCATCACAAGGTCTTTGAGGTACTTATTACAACTGCACTGTTGAGGAGCTTCAGACTAAGCCAGACGGTTTTCAGGTATCTTCTTAAGTTTCAATAACTCACTGGTTGATATCAGAATTTCATAACTAAAACCTGATAACTATCACCTAGTTAGGTTAAGTCATGTAAAATACTTGAAAGACAACAACTTAAGTAAAAATTATTATTACCACTACTGACACTTTGTCTTAACCAAGCATCACTTAAGTTGCTTAACATTCCAAATCCATGGTATTTCAACAGTGCAGAGATGAATTGTTAGGAAAATCGTCAAAGTAATGATTTACATGAATTCTCGTACACATTAATGCATAAACAGCTCTGAACTATAGCAGAAATAGATCTTTATGTTTGTATACAAATTCAGCTTGTCCTCATTTGATTCCACCTGCTGTAGTAAGTTAAGAAATCCCTTGATTGAACCATTGACGGATTATGCTAATGACCTCGTAAGACAGTGTATATTCTCTTCCATGTAAGCAGAAGGCTAGGTTGGTACTTCGATGGGAAAGTGTGATTACATAGGCATATTTCAATGAAAGTAATGTGGAAACATCTATTTACAGACAGACAGACGTATCACCTCAGAACCTAGAAAAGAAGTGGATTAGTTCAACTTGTCACACTTCACAGTAGTATACGAAAAAAAGGATAGTAGTAAAAAATGTATGGGAGAAGCTAGGAGAAATAAATGACGATGAATGAAAATATTCAAGTTTTCAAATGTGTCAGAGAATAAAAACACCTTTTCCATTACATCTGATTTCAGCTATGTCATCAAGAGTTGCCAACTATTGATTCCTGTCAGCTAGTCTACATTTCCCCACATGGCCGGGACCAACAATCAGAGGCCTGACGAACTGGCTCCATGTCTTGTTCTTGCCATCCTAAGCCTTATTCCAACATAATTCTACTTCGGCTAACATTACATGCTGAAGTAGTCGGTGACTCAACGTGCTCAACACACGTCCAACCCTCCTCAGTCGTTGGGGATTCACAACCTCATTGATTCGCTTACCTTCATATAACCTAGACATTACTCAAACGGTGATTCAAGCATACGTAAGCACTGCTGCAACGCGAACTGTGATTGAAAATCTGTGGTCCCTTTATATAGAATACTTTCAGCGGCCAAATCTTACAGCTATATATAAGGATACATCAGACTAGAGTGCTGCATATTTGTCCTTAATTAGGTAGTCAGATATCTCGCTGGCCTCAGACAAGGTCCACTTTTTCCATCTATGTGGTGTCTTATTAATGAAGTTCCAAGGTAACCAAGAGGTCATATTGATCCTGCAACAAAACACGAAAACAATCGGAAACTTGAAATAGTTGATCTTCTTTCCACTCACTATAACTCTTGAATTCTTGTTTCACACTTATCATCTATATTTAATGTTTTTTTTTTAGCCTCCTTATTCATTATTCTATAAAACTTTCCTTTCTCCAGCACCAACTCCTAATTGGATCATTTTATCTTACCTTCGCGTTTGTGAATAAATTGCTGTATAAAGTTTTAGTATTTCTGTGACTATTTCGACGGTTGCGGTTATGGCATAAAAATACCTCGGTCATTTTTTTACCGTCTGAGATGAAGCTCCTCATTGTCTTTGATGCAGCAATACTAAAAGTCGAAGTTTTGACACATGATTCAAAAATCAACCAATCTGTATCAATCTATCACATAGTGCAATGCATCATAAACAAGATCATAAGTTTTCTACTGGAAATCGTTCCATTGTGGGTAAAACTTAATATCTCTAAGGTACACCATTGAATAACTCAAGAATAGTTTCAATCTCTATGTTATTTTACTTGTTTACTTGTCCCTTGAATTCGTAGAGGAACATAGGGCTTCAGTAACACGTCACCATTTCACTTTCTTCTTTGAAGTCTATTCAACCTGGCTCCACAACTCCCCACAAACTATCATTTCTTCCTCACAAGATCTTCTCCATGATACTCTAAGATGCCCAACTAGTTGTTTCCCATTAGGCTTCCACTCCATTGCCTGGCTTGACACGTGATGTCCCCAATCGGTTTTCCAGCGTACGCCCAATCCATCTCCAATTTTCTCTACTGCATATTTGTTAGGGGATAGGTTCTTGTTTGGTTTGTTGCCAGGCCAGAGTTCCTTGTTACTTATTCTCATTGTTCTGGCCATCTGATCTCATTTTCAGTATCGAGCAGGCGTAGGCAGCAGCTGTTGATCAACGTCTGGAGTTTGTTGGAAATGCTTTTCTTAACGCGCCACCAAGTCTCTCAACTATCATATAAAAGCACTGAGTTGACGTTGGTGTTGAAAATCCGGATGTTGTTCACGATTTATGGTGATTGTAGTTGAGCGAATTAGATCTTCAAATTGATTTCAGATTAGTGAAGACCTGTCTAGCTGTCTTTCCGGTCGTGGCTTTGACATCCTCATCTGCGCCTGTGCCGCCTGTATTTGAGACGATGTTGCCCAGGTAAGTGAAAGGGACTACTTCCTTTAGGTTTCTCCTGTTGATGGTGA